AGAGGTGCAAAAACAATACTAGATAGAGAATAGATAAAATAAATAAATAAACAAAAGAATGGAGAGAAATGGTGGATGGTGGAGACGATCCCTCATAATGTCAGCCAAGTGCTCCATCATCAACTTGGAACAGTTAAGACAGCTTGGATTTAGATTTAGCCCTCTTTAATTGAGTTGGAGCTAACCCCGACTCGGGATTACGTTTTACTGTCTGCTGTGAGGGTTCTTCATTGACCGGAGGTCATCATTAAGAATATATAGCTTATTGGCAATGAAAGTTATAGACGGGAAAACCAAAACCTTGGATCACTAAACCAGGACCAGCTGGATGATGTTTGACCAGGTTTGAAATATATCCTTTCAGTATGCACTGCATATGCACTTTGAATGAAACAATAGACCCCTATGCCCCAGGGAAGTTGGTGAAAGTGACTGCCAACCACTTAAAGCGCCCACAGATCGTGTAACTCTTGAAAAGGAAAGCATCCACAAAGCCCGATGATGCTCCTCTCCGGTCCTGTGCGGCAGCTGTGAAACGCATTAGAAGTGTAAGAGCGGAGAGTCCATAAACCTGATATTTTGTAATGTATCAAGCTCATGCAACCCAGTGATGGAAAAGGCAGGTATGTCAGGAATCCCACTTTCAGACAGAGCTCCATTAGAGTCTGATGCAATCTGGGGCTGCCGAAACCTGCTCTAGAAGAAAATCCCAGATGCTACAGCGCGAGTGTGTCTGTGTGTGCGCTTCATCCTGTGCATCCTACACTATAATGACATTGATACTGCGTGGCTTTGCAGATGTCACATTTAAGTGCAATCCTATGTATTTTCCAGAGGGTATAGGAGCGTTAAACGTTCGATGGGGGGGGCGCAGACAGACGCTGAAAATCTGAATGAAATCAGAGCTCTGTCTGACTGTCGCTCCCTCTCTGATGGTAAAGACAGATGCATCATTTGATGTTGGGCTTGTCTTGAGGAAAACATTAGTACACATTAGTGATACTTGGAATGAATACCCACATGGAGAACACTGTGTTTTGATATTTGTCTCGAGGGCCCAGCGGCGTTGGCGTTAATGAACTGAAGAGGAGGCTGCTGATCTCCGACCCCGACCGCTATGGCGTCACCGTACCCCGTAAGACAGACGCTTTCGAGTTCCTCGACTGTCATCTCCTGCACGCTAAAATGCGTTTCATCTCCCGCCTGCCGTGCTCTTCTCTTACAGACACCACACGGGAGAAGAAAAGGCAGGAAAGCGAAGGTGTGGATTATCATTTTGTGTCAGTCCACATGTTTGAAGAGCTCATTCTGAGTCACAGGTACTCCATTAGCATGTGTTCCCATGGTATTAAAAGAATCTCGCTTGCATTTTGTCCACTCACTCTGTCTACTTTGCCGTTTTAATTGTTTTCATGTCTGTTCCTGTCCCCGATGCTTTCTGCCTCCAGGTTTATCGAGTATGGGAGTTACAGAGGTCACTACTATGGAACAAGTCTAGACTCTGTGCACAGAGTGATGGCAGAGGGCAAGGTCTGCCTCCTGGATGTTCACCCCAGTGTAAGCATTGTGCCATCCATTGTGTCCTATGGCCTTTTCACGTTGAACTAATAAAAGTAAAGTTTCCAAGTCCCCACAAGGGTTTAGTTTTTTATTTTAGTTATGCTGGGAAGCCAGTGAGGGATCACACTGTACTTGCTTTTTTGCATGATCTGTGGAACAGTAGCGTGAGCCTCCTCACTTTTTAAACCCTGCAGTTTAAAGAAACAAATAAGGACTGAGTACTCTGCTTCTATCAGAAGAAGAACATTCCTGTGTGGACTTTTCCCCAAGTTAGCTTTAGGATATGAGGGCAGTCCAAATTTGTGGGGGGGAAAATGGGATAAAATCATAGACTGTATATAAGAGATGAGCATTATCCAACAGGACATCATCTATAGATCTTTGAAGTCCCACTTTGAAGCCTGACACTCACAGCTTGTTTTCTGGGAGCCAGAACATTTTGAACATGTAATTATACTGAGGGTGGGTTGCAGGGAAGTTTTCAGTTAACACCAGCAAGTTTAGTAGGCAAAGTGATAGTATGGGTACACTGCACAAGAACAGATATTTGCTAAACACTGATAACTTGGGCAAACTGCTAGTACAACTTTGGTCATATAGGCACTAACACCAAACAAGGTCACCAAGCAGGCTTTTACTGCCCCTCTTTTAAAAATAATCATTCCCCACTTAAAAATGAACTTTGAGCCATCTAAGGGATACAGATAAATAAATAATAATCCCACAAAAAGTTATTATAAAGGGGGAAATTAACGATCCAGGCCAAAACAGTTTTTGAACCAGACCGCTAACATGTTTTTACTCTGAGGTTAACATTTGGAAATGTTTGGGAATTTGAGGCAGTGCAGTTTTTGTCATTTGTTTCTACAGTTCTCGTGATTCTTTCTGTCAACCTTAGAGACTGCCACTTTATCCTGTCCCTAATCCTGTTAGGTTACACATGTCAGTGAGCTAAAAATTATTATTAATTTTTGAGAAATTTAACTGATCCTTTCATTGTTTTGCTGATAACATCTTGATTTCTTTTCCTGTGAAATCTAATGACCCCAATTCATTAAGTTTAGTTAGACTGACTTAAAGAATTGGTTAAACATGAATTTTCTCAATTTTAATGAACAGAAATGAAAACAGAGATTGTTATGTTTGGTTGTGGTGAGCAGCTGTAGGACTGTGTTTCCTCTGTGTTGGCTCTCCTACTCCATTAGTACCTGCTCGGATTGACTTGACTTGCATCGACTGGTTTTCCATTACAATCCAGTACTATCTAATGTCCATGGTTGTCGTCATAGCAACACTGCAGAGCATCCCGTGACGTAATTAGTATGC